CTCTGCTGGGTGGTGGTGTGAGAGTGTGTGTAGATAGTGGTTTGTATGTGTTTTCTTCTGGTAGATGGTGTGTCCTAGGGAGCCATTGGATTTTTTGTATACCAAGACATCTAGGAAGGGAAGTTGATTGTTAGCTTTGGTTTCCATGGTGAATTGTATTTTGGGGTGTAGGCGGTTGAGGTGTGTGAGGAAGTTGTTCAGTTTTTCTTTCCCATGTGGCCAGATTATGAAGGTGTTGAAGAACACAAGAACTCAATAAAAAAAAAAGAACCGACCTCTTCCCTGGTCCAACACCTCAAAGCCACAGGACATGAGATTGACTTTAAAAATACCAGAACTATCACCAAAACCGAACACTTCAACAACAAAATAATCAGAGAAGCCATAGATATAGAAAAACGCCCACACAGCATGAATGAATGAGATGATACCTCCCACCTACCAGCCATTTGGAAACCCACCCTCATGAACAAACAAGTACCTAACATGAAGAATGACACCAGACCCACACCCACGAGGTTCACACAAGATGCTACCACCACACTTCCACGTAGAAAGCAGACTCACACCCACACAGAAGATGAGACACGACCACAGCCCAGAAGCCATACCACAGCTGCATCACTACCCACTTCAAACCCCTCCGACCCATACATGAAGCGAACTGACGCCCACCATGAAGATGTGGCACGACCACGAATGCGAAGCCAAACAGCAGGATCACAGCTCACCAGCTCAAATCCCCCAGCAACTAAGACTAACCTGAGCACAACCAAGCCCCCACCTGAACAGAACACACCCCCAACCAATCAGAACACGGCTAACCCCCCAAGCAATCAGAACACAGCCAAACCCCCAACCAATGAGAACACACCCCCAGCCAATCAGAACACAGCCAAGCCCCCACTCAATCAAGTCACACCCCTACTAGCAGTTAAAAGGAAGAAGCAGCTGCAAGCTCACATTACTCCGAGAAGCACAAAGCCAAAGACACAAACCTGAATATGATGAATGAGACTTCATCAAAACATCACCTAGATACTTCCAATTTTACGTGGGAGAAAACCCGAATAACCAAAGATCCACATACAAATACCCGCAAGAACCTCAGAAAACAAATATTGCACCTCTACAGGGAGGAAACCCACCATCTGACCAGGACTTATGAAAAACTTGAAGTCCAAAGAGCTTCCATTTTATGTGACCTTGCATTCCTATGCAACTGCCGAGATCAAAATTTAATCCCCACAAGCTTCCAATTGAAATTCCACACCAACACAGCAGCCACCAAACCCATCCTAAAAAGAACAGAATTGGCCCTAATTAGAAATGAACTTCACACAAAAAGATTCCTCCTAGACCAAATCAACAAAGATCTCCTCACACTTCACCTCAGACTCAGCAACAAGATTCACCCCGCACTTTGGCACAAATCCAAACAACTCGCTGTCTGGAGAGCCGAAACACAGACCACCCTCAAGACAGACACACACACCAACAAACTCAGAAAACTACAACAATGCCAGAAACAAACTCCTCTCCCCTCACAGCCACACATGAAACAAACAGTGCACAACATCTCAGACAAGATCCTCACTGAAGCTGAAACCAATGTCTTTTCGAAAGGATTCAACTTTAACGTCGCTCCCAAACACATCCCCACAGAAACCATCATATGAGGAGTTGAAACCAGCCTGACCAAAACCAACCCTGATGATACTAATAGAATCAGACTCGAAATCACCAACATCCTCTGCACTAGCAAACCACCCAAAAGCAAATTATCCAAAGAAGAACAAACTGCATTACTTAATCTGAAAGAAGACACCAGCATAATAATCCTACCAGCAGACAAGGGCAACGCGACAGTGGTTATGAACACATTTGACTACCAAACCAAGTTAACCAACCTACTCCAAGACCCCACATACAAACCCCTAAACATAGACCCCACCACCTACCTAGAAAAAACCACCAGATCTAAAATAAAAGCCTCCCCCATCAGTGAAGAAATCCAACAAAGAATCATACCCAGAGAGAAATCATCCAGATCCCCTAAGCTTTATGGTCTCCCCAAGATACACAAAGAAGGAACCCCACTCAGACCAATAGTCAGCTCCATAGGCTCACCTCTACAAAACCTAGCCAAATTTCTCACCAAACAACTACAGCCCTATGCAGAATCCATCAACTCACATGTAAGAAACTCATTCCAGTTCATCGAGATCATAAAGAAACAAAACTTACAACCCAGCGACCTACTAGTAAGCTTCGATGTCATATCCCTCTTCACCCAAGTGCTAATAAAAGAAGCCTTGACAGTCATCGAAAACAAATACAACCCCCCCACCCAAGCACATCCTAGATCTGACCAACCACTACCTATCCAATACATACTTCACCTACAATGGACAAAAATACAAACAAATAGAAGGAGCACCCATGGGATCCCCCCTCTCACCTGTCATCGCAAACCTCTACATGGAACACTTTGAAACACAAGCTGTAGAAAAATATGATCACAAACCCAAACTCTGGCTCAGATATGTAGATGACTCCTTCATAATCTGGCCACACAGGAAAGAAAAACTGAACAACTTCCTCACACACCTCAACCGCCTACACCCCAAAATACAATTCACCATGGAAACAGAAGCTAACAATTAACTTCCCTTCCTAGATGTCTTAGTATACAAAAAATCCAATGGCTCCCTAGGACACACCCTCTACCAGAAGAAAACACATACAAACCGCTATCTACACACACTCTCACACCACCACCCAGCAGAGATCAATTCCATAGCCAAGACACTCATCTCTAGAACAAAATGCTTAGCCGACGAATAACACCTAAAAATCGAACTACACACTCTCATTAACGTACTAACAGCCAATGGATTCCAAAGAAAGAAGATTACCCACCTAATCCAAAAAGAAACCCCAACCAAAATCCAAGACAGAGAACAAGAGAACAGCAAAGCCCTCCTCCCATATATACAGACAAAATCAGCAAGCTCCTCCAAAAACACAACATTAAAACAGCATTCTGCACAAACAGAAAAATATCCACCATCCTAAGAAACCCTAAAGACAAAATCGAGTTAGAAAACCAAGGAGTATACGAAATCCCTTGCACCACCCGTCCCACCACATACATCGGACAAACTAACAGAAGAATAAGTGCACACATTGAAGAAAACAAAAACTCAATAAAAAAAAAAAGGACCGACCTCTTCCCTGGTCCAACACCTCAAAGCCACAGGACATGAGATTGACTTTAAAAATACCAGAACTATCGCCAAAACCGAACACTTCAACAACAGAATAATTAGAGAAGCCATAGAGATAGAAAAACGCCCACACAGCATGAATAAATGAGATGATACCTCCCGCCTTCCAGCCATTTGGAAACCTGCCCTCATTAACAAACGAGTACATAACATGAAGAATGACACCAGACCCACAACCACGAGGTCCACACAAGATGCTACCACCACACTTCCACATAGAAAGCAGACTCACACCCACACAGAAGATGAGACACGACCACAGCCCAGAAGCCGTACCACAGCTGCATCACTACCCGCTTCAAACCCCTCCGACCCATACATGAAGCGAACTGACGCCCACCATGAAGATGTGGCACGACCACGAACGCGAAGCCAAACAGCAGGATCACAGCTCACAGCTCAAATCCCCCAGCAACTAAGACTAACCTGAGCACAACCAAGCCCCCACCTGAACAGAACACACATCCCAGCCAATCAGAACACAGCCAAACCCTCAACCAATGAGAACACACCCCCACCCAATCAGAACACAGCCAAGCCCCCACCCAATCAAGTCACACCCCCACTAGCAGTTAAAAGGAAGAAGCAGCTGCAAGCTCACATTACTCCGAGAAGCACAAAGCCGAAAGCACCAGCCTAAAGATGGCGAGTGGGACCTCATCGAAACGTCGCCAAGATACTCTCAATCTTACATGGGAAAGAACCTGAACACGCCAAAACCTGCATACCTAAACCCGTGAAAATCTACAATATATGGAGAGAGAGAGAGAGAAGGAGGAAGGGAGGGAGGGAGGGAGAAATGGAGTAGAGTGGAATGGAGTGGAGTGGAGTGGAGTGGAGTAGAGTAGAGTAGAGTAGAGTAGAGTAGAGTAGAGTAGAGAGTAGAATAGAATCAGAAATGAATACAATCCAAATAGAATAGAATAGAATCAGAAATGAGTAGAATCAGAAATGAATAGAATAGAACAGAATAGAGTAGAATAGAATAGAATAGAATCAGAAATGAATAGAATAGAATAGAATAGAATAGAATAGAATAGAATAGAATAGAATAGAATAGAATCAGAAATGAATAGAATAGAATCGGAAATGAATAGAAAAGAAAAGAACAGAATAGAATAGAGAATAGAGGTGGGACCTTGGAGGTCTTCTAGTCGAACCTCCTGCTCAGGCAGGAAACCCTACATCATTTCAGGCAAATGGTTGTCCAATACCTCTTAACATCATATTACAAATATAATTAATGCCACATTTGGCATTTTTGGTCCACCTATCAAATCTTTCTCAAGAACCTGGGAAAGAGGCATCTTAATATATAGTGTCTCTTATATCTCATAATATCCCTTATCTATCTCACAAACTAAGTGAGATATTCCCTTCATGGCTCCATTTAGGTCATTTTCTCCTTCGGAACTGGAGAGATGGAACTCATTCAAGCCTGACAAAGCAGTCCTGTCCTTGCCTCGTGCTTCAGGGCAGGAGATAACAAAGAACAATTAAAAGCCGTCTTCTCGGATGCCTTTGTATGGGTGCATGCAGGCATATCAAAACCCTTAGCACGCTTCCTACATTCTCCAACAAAGAGATGGATAATGTACGTGTTTCTGCTTGCCCTAGTTTTGGACCCCCAAAATCATTCACCAAAGAAAAACTAAAGAATGGACCGTGAAGGTTTAAATTCCAGATACGGGGAGCTGGCTTAAGAGTTACCTTGTTCTGGGTTTGAGTTTGTCCAATGAGGATGAGAGCATTGGAAGATACGATGGAGAGGCAGAAATTGATCAAGATGACCGATCGTTCGGAGCGGATATACCTGCAGGAAGGGAACAAGGGAGCAGAAGGAAAAGAAAGCATGTCAAACTTCAATAGGACAGGCAGTGTGGTGTAGTGGTTAGGGCACAAGACTAGGATCCGGGATCCAACCGTAGCTGGAGCATCGGGAGGCTTTGAGACAATCTCATCTCTCAGTTTAACTCAATTCCCAGGATCGTTGGGAGGGTGAAATTTGGGGGAAGGATGTCCTACGGACGTCCCAAAGGGGCTTTTCCCAAAAGGCAACTGAAAATTCTTGGGTTTTTTTTTTCCCCCTTGAAAATGTTTCACTTCTCATCTAAGAAGCTTCTTCAGTTCTGGCTGAACGGTGGGGAATGGAAGGATTTATATTCCTTAGCAGTCATCTGGTCATTCGGTGACCCCTTCCATGAAACGGGCATGTGGGGGTCCTGCCTGTAGACTCAAAAATATTGGCTAAAAATTAAAAAAAATGGTTTCAGGAAATCACTAATGAACATATAGAATTAAAACCGGAGCTATTCTTACTGGGGATATTTAAAAAGAAATATAGGAGAAATACAAAATATATAGTATTACATATTTTAACGGCAGCTAGAATTGCCTATGCCCAGTGTTGGAAACATACATGTATACCATCAGATGAACTGACTATCCAAAAAATAATGAGTTGTGCTGAGATGGATAAATTAACTCTGACATTACAAGAGAAGGAGGAGTCTGAGTATTATAGGATTTGGGAAAAATGGATTGAGCTAAGATAGATGGATGACGAAAAAATTAATGATAAGCAACGTATAGGTTAAATGCTTACATTCGCATACATTGTACATATTTGTAAATAAGGCACAAAATAGTAATATAAGATGAATGGCACAAACTGTTAATGTTAAGATATTTACACTTTTTGTTTGTTTTTAAAGTTATAAAAGATTAACAAAGTTTATGGAAGGAAAAAAAGAATCTGATTTTTTTTAATGCTAAGGTCTAGCAGCTGGTAGGCCTGAGGCCCAACTATAGTAGGCTGAAGGACCTCCAGCCTAAAGATCTGTTGCTTTCTAGCTTGGCTTACTCGCTACCACCACAGTCACCAAGACCATCTTGTTCTGACTCAGTTCCCCAAACACGACAAACCCTCTGAAGTGAACTCAAAAGATTCCTTTAATTAGGAGTGCCGGCAGCCCTGGCACAAAACTTCTCTCTTGGCACAGGCTAACAAGTCTGTCTGTCCGGAAGATGAATAATTGACTGCCACATCTATTCATCTCCGTCCCCTGCCTTTTATCCTCAGAGTTAGGGTGAGGCTTTGCTAGCAGCGGTGGCTCTTCTGTCCCAAAGACCAGCCCATAGAGTTCCACTGCCCTCCTCTCCTCTGCCTTCTGCACATCCGCACATCAGGCACTGCACCCAGCTGTTCCTCCTGTTCTTCAACAGCCACCTCCAGACCTGGGGACTGTTGACTCTCTATCTGAAGGTTGATGGACGGCCCAGGCTCCATATCTCTCTCTCTCTCTCTCTCTCTCTCTCTCTCTCTCTCTCTCCCTCTCTCCCTCCCTCTCTCTGTGCCAGCTCGATTTCCTCTCCTCCCTTGGAGCTCCCAAGTTGGCTTGTTGCCGACCCTGATTCCCACATCTCCTCCTCCTCCTCTGATTCGGCTGCTGGAGGGGCCGGTGGCCGACAGGTCACAACACACCTGTCTAATTTTTTTCCAGAGCCCCTGCAAACTTTCTTTTTGAGAGAGAAAAGGAAGTTGAAATACTTGATGTTGAGAAACCCAATCCTTACCTCCAGACTGAGATATAAATGATGATCAGGAGAAGGAGGGTCAACGAGGACACCCCACAGCCAACGATCAACGTGACTGAAGGGACGAGGACTTTTTCTGTATTCTGAAAAAGAGAAAATAAAAAACATGAAGACGCTCGTAAGGAAACCTCCACTGACTAAACTTTTATACTAATTACCTCCTGGAATTACGATCAGAGGTGGTATTCAGCAGGTTCTGACCAGTTCTGGAGAACTGATCATAAACGCAATCACATTAAGGAGGTCTGTAGTAACTTCAAATGCAGCCACTAAGCAACCAGTCATAACTCAAGGATTAGCTGTATTTAAATGGCTTGATTTTCCCCCCACACCTCTCTTGATTTGAATTCCGTACTTTTGCTGCCATAGATGCTTATCCTAAATCTTCCTAAGGTCTGATTTATTTTCTTTTATTTATTTTAAGCAAGAGGTTATTTGTAGCTAGAGAGATACACGTAAAACTGCTGCTGCTGAACACGTCCCTGCACTGAGGGAATGTTCTATATTTTAAAAATGCGTCCATTTCCAAGATGAATATCAAATCCCTGGCAACCAAACGCAGCCAAAGATGTGTGAATCACACAGACTTCAATGGGTATTTGAATGCAAACATTTTGGAATAAAGTACAGAATCTTGGAAACCACAATAGAAACCATGATTTATCAGTGAGTTTCTGCAGGTGGAATCTCTTTGAAGGCATTTTTAATATATAAATTATATTGAGAGTATTATAAACATAAATACTGTGGATACAGTTCTGCAGAGGAATTATTGAGTCTGTCATCTGCACCTCTATAACTGCCTGGTTTGATTCTGCAACCCAACAAAGGCACAGACTTCAGAGGATAATTAGGACTGCAGAAAAAATGATTACTACCAACCTGCCTTCCATCGAGGATCTGTATACTGCATGAGTCAAAAAGAGGGCTGTGAAAATATTTACAGATCCCTCACATCCTGGACATAAACTGTTTCAACTCCTTCCCTCAAAACGACGCAATAGAGCATTGCACACCAGAACAACTAGACACAAGAAGAGTTTTTCCCCCGAATGCCATCACTCTGCTAAACAAATAATTCCTTCAACACTGTCCAACTATTACAAAGTCTGCACTACTATTACTATTAACCTTGTCATCACTCCTTATCACCCATCCCCTCCCACTTGTGACTGTAGGACTGTAACTCTGTCGCTTGTATCCTTACGATTTATATTGACTGTTTCATAGTATGATTTGATGGCTTATTGAACCCTGTGACTATTATTAAGTGTTGTACCTGATGATTCTTGACTCTTGATAATTTCTTTTATGTACACTGAGAGCATTTGCACCAAGACAAATACCTTGTGTGTCCAATCACACTTGGCTAATAAATAAATAATTCATTCAATCATTCATTGCTAAGCAAAACTTCTGTTCACTAAATTTCAGAATAAAACAACTCGCCGTGGCCAACCTGCTGTGGGACAACTCAACAATTCAATTTGATTCTTTCAAGTAACTAAAAAAAAACAAATCGATTTTTGTCGTTCACATTTTATTTCGTTCACCTTTTGGCATCCTTTCTTTAGTGATTCTATTCGACTATTTCTTCTATATTAGTGTACCTCTTGTCCTGTGGCAAGTTGTCTCACAGCGAATTGGCCGTTGTGAGTTGTCCTAATCTGAAATTCATAGACCCAGTGAATTTTGCTCCATTTTACAACCTGTCTTGCCACGGTTGTTAAGTGAACTGCTGCAGTTGTTAAGTTAGTAACACAGTTGTGAAGTGACTGTCAGGGCTCTAGTAGTTACACCCATTTAAATCATGAGTCTCTAGCTGGATTTCCAGAGCTTAAAGAAGATTTATTAGGAGTAAACATGCCAGCACTGCCTGGGTGTAGTCAACTCTGCAAAACATCATTCATTGTCACCCTTGACCCTGGTTTTCCCCCACCCCCTGGGTGTATCAAAATTCATATTCTCCAATGGGACACATCCATAGCCAAGAGTCCTCAATCATGCTCTCCAGTTAGAATTTTGCAAGGCAGAAACTTCAGTCACCTAGTTACTATCTTGGAAAACATTTATGGAATGCACTTTCAGTTTGCAAGCTGCCACATTGCTTTCCCCCCTCCCTTTCTGTTGGCAACTCTAAAAAGACCATAGAAATATTTTATGAGTTGGCAGTGACTCTGCCTTTCCTGTTGACTTTGCTCGCCAGAAGGTCACAAAAGGAAATCACTCAGGGATAGGATTCCAAAATCCCAGGTACCAGTTTGCTACCCAGTTGCTGGGTGGGTATGGCCATGGTTGTGGTGGGCCTGGCCTACCAGAACTTCCTGGAGGGCCATTTTTCACCTTCCCCAGAATCCGGAGGCTTCCCTCAGGTCTCCGGGAGGGCAAAAATGGCCTCCCCCTCCCAGAGCCTCCGCGAGGACCCTGCACAACTGGACTTTCTGATTTTTCTTTAAGAAGCTCTGGTCTCCATAACTTCTCAAACAGAATCTGCCCATCACAGTAAGGACTCCATTCAAATATACAATTGATACCCTGTTGACATTTCCAAACAACTACTTTTAGATTGGGGGGGGGGGAGAGAACGGGACATTCCTTTCTCTCCATCCCTGGCTAGAAAAAACATCAAACGTAACCAAGAAAAGACATCCCGAATGCCACAACCAGCTTTAAAAAAAAAAAAATCACTGTAAATCAGGGTTATGATGCAAGATTCAAGGAACTTAAATCTACGTGGTTTGAAAGGAAATCAGGTTGATGTCTCCAGATTTTCAGGCCAGAAAGAATTCTGGAGAGGAAGAATTCTGCAATTTTTCTTGAAATAGAAAGAAGATGAAACAATGTCCAAAGTGATGAGAGGGTGGGGGCAAATCTCTCCTCCTTCTCCTCCTTCTTCCCCTCCCCCTCCACAAACCCTATTTTCTAGCACTGATAATGTTACCTAGTTTGGTAATGAAATGTCTGCAAGAAAACCACCAAGCTCAGAGAGCAACAAAGACCTCACAATCCTCCTACTCCTCTTCTTCTTTCTAGATCTTACTTCCTTCTGGCACTGATAATGTTAGCTAGTTGGATAATGAAACATCTTCCAGCAAACAACTAAGCTCAGATAACACCAAGGAGCCTACAGATCAACACTGAGCTATGAATATTTTCTTCTACTGATAGATGGGGAAAAAAGCAGAGACATCACCCTGCCAACAAAAGGGTGCATCGTCAAAGCTATGGTTTTCCCAGTTGTAATGTCTGGCTGTGAAAGTTGGACGATAAGGAAGGCTGAACGCCAAAGAATGGAGGTCTTTGAACTATGGTGCTGTAGAAGAATCCCGAGAGTCTCTTGGACTGCCAGGCGATCCAACCGGTCAGTCCTAGAGGAGATCAACCCTGGCTCTTCTTTAGAAGGCTAGATCCTGAAGATGAAACTCAAAGACTTTGGCCACCTCATGAGAAGGAACTCACTGGAGAAGAGCCTAATGCTGGGAATGGTTGAGGGCAAAAGAAGAAGGGGACGACAGAGAAGGAGGTGGCTTAATGGAGTCACTGAAGCGGTCAGTGTGAGCTTAAATGGACTCCAGAAGATGGTAGAGGACAGGAAGGCCTGGAGGAACGTTGTCCGTAGGGTCGCAATGGGTAAAACATGACTTAACAACTAACAACATTGGTGGAGATATGCCTTACATCTCCATCCTTCCTCTAACTGTATATAACCAATGCAAGCAAAGATATTAAAAATCCAGTGTCTGAGATGGACAGTGCTAAGTCATTCTTCTTTCTCTTTTCCCTCCTGCTCTGCATAGATATGCTCCTTCTTTCAGTAGGCTATCTCCTTCAATTTCATCTCCTTCAGGACATTCTTCCAAATCTCTTGTTCCACTTGGACCTCGCAGGAAGAGAAGGACAAAGCACCCAAACAATGATCTTCTCATTGAGCTCTTGTCTCGACCTATCTCTGTTCCTTCATGCTTGACTCACTTCATGTACAATGTCAGGAATTTGCGTGTCACCTCCTTTCACCTCCTTTGGCTACTAACAAGAAAAGTAGATGTGACATTTCCAGAGCAGCCAAACTGTTCTTCCTTATTCGGTCCAGATTTTATAAACTAAACCAAAGAAGAAGAGAAGTTTGAATGGTTGCAGGAACTGGGTAGGTCTAGTCTGATGAAAAGAAGGACTAAGGGTAACATGATCACAGTCTTCCAATATTTGAGGAAATGTCACAGAGAAGAGGGGTTCAAATTATTTTCCAAAGCATTTGAAGGCAAGACAAGAAACAACAGATGGAAACTAATCAATGAGAGAACCTAGAACTAAGAAGAAATTTTCTGAGAGTAAGAACAATCAACTAGTGGAACAACTTTCCTCGAGAAGCTGTGGATTCTCTATCGCTGGAGGCTTTTAAGAAGAGATTGGACAGCCATTTGTAACAGTATAGGGTCTTCTGTTTGGACAGGGGGTTGGACTAGAAGACCTCCAAGGTCCTTTCCAACTCTGCTATTCTCTTATTCTTCGTGGTCCATGGAGATCTCTGGGAAGAGATTTGAAAAAAAAAAAAAAACATCAGAGTTTAGATCAATGCTAGCAAGAATCCTTGCCAAGGATTCAACTTTCCCTAAAGAATATCCATGCTGTGCACAGATAGGAGTCGCACTGACTTCTTAAATATAATGAGGTAGCCAAGATCCAGGTATTCTTTACAACTATTAGTTTAGGGGCCATTTTGCAGGATATGACCTTACGTGCTTTGTTAATGAAACCTTTGAAAGAAAGCTCCCAAGCTCCCGAGGGTCAGGTCAAAAGTGTCACAAGTCACAAATCCCTTCCTGCCCATGAGAGATTTACATCCACCTTCAATGCCTCTCGTATCTCCTGCTCGCTTCCCTCATCCGTTAGTTGGTCAGATTCTTGTAGAGAGCTTAAGCTTGCAATAAATCTCTGCAATCATTTGAACTGCTTGAATCTTCTGATTTCCCTGTTGCTTGGTGCGTTTGAAATTACAGAAGCATCACTGCAAGAAGGAAGTGAGATTTGGGAGGGGAGGAGGAAGAGGAGGTGGAGGAGGAGGAGGAGGAGGAGGAGGATCCTT